AACTTCAGGAAGATGCAGTGTCTCTCCACCCAACACTTTTGAAACTGAAAGAGAAAGCTCGAGGTTTCTGATTTATTTCCGAGAAGCTGAGTGCAGTCCTCCAGCATTACTGGGTACACATCTGCTATCATTGTTCTCCTAGAACCAGTCCTGGTTTACCTCCCATCTATCAGCATTAGATTTCATTTTATCTGAATAATGGCAGAAGGTGGCAACAGATCGGGTCAAAGGCTCTTTTCATATCAGACCCTGAAGAAGTCGATTACTCAAAAAGAGAGACATCTTCAGATAACCGTGCAATCCATTCCTCATAAATGCTAAAGATTTTCCGTTATTAATAGTGGCAGGGGTGACAGATTATGGATATTAATGTTATTTTTCTGAGAACTTCAATGGCAAGGGCTGGGATTTTTTTTCCTTTCTTTTTTTTTTTTTTTTTTTCTTTTATGTTTCTAATTAGGCACAAATTTACAGCAGCTACCAGAATAGCCAAGATTAATACCCAGTAGTAAAAAGCTGCTACACCGAATCCGCGGGACTATGAATAGAACGGGGGCGGGGGGGGGGGGGGGGAAGAGTCGGAAACAAACCCACCCCCGCGACTCCCAGGGCGAGAAGGGCCCCGGGGGTCTGCCGGGCAGCGGAGGAGCAGAGCTCGGTCCTTACCTGGTAAGCAGTGGGAGCATCGGAGCCGGCGTCAGCCCCCAGGGCCGAGAGCTTCTCCTTCAGGCGGTGGTGGGCGCGGTGGCGGAGGCAGTAGGCGACCCCCGACGCCGCCAGGACCCCGGCGATGCAGGCGAGGGAAAAGAGGGTGAGGAGGAGGAATTTGGCGGACTGCGCCTCTTCCCCGCGCTGGGCGAGCGGCGGGACGTTGCTTTTCTGCAGGGAAGGAGAGAGAGGCAGCGCCTGAGTTGCGCGGTCGCGGAGCAGCGCGGATGGGGGGATCCCGTCGGGGGGAACGCTCGGCAGCCCTAACTTTCGGCCGGGGAGGGAGGCAAACAGAGGGGCAGAGACAGGGCTGCTGCCGGGTCCCGCTCCGTGCCCTGCCCTCCGCCGGCTCTGCTCTCACTTAACTAGCGAGAGGCGGAGGCGGACCCGCTGGATGCGCGCAAGCCCCGCGGAGCGCCCCGCGGCTTCGCGCCCCGCTCGCACCGCATCGACAGCCAGGGGCTGCGAGGGGCGCAGCAAGGGAAAATCCGTATTTTCTTAGTGAAAAATAAAACACAGTGAAGGAAAAAAAAAAAAAAAAAGTAGGTGGCGATCCTTCCTTTTGTCTGTTGTAGAGGGAAGCGGCTTAAAAAAGCCCCCGATAGTTCCAAACTCCTCCAGATTACTATTATTTTTGCAGCAATAGGAGAGAATCCTTCTAGTGCATTTCACTTGTCTCCATGTGCTAAAAAGTTGTACAATAATTTCCCCTCATTAGCTTCATTATAACCTATATTAGCAACAATTAAAAACGCAACATGAAAATGAAAAGACCAGGCGCGCAAATTGCAGCAAGACTCATTTGGCCTGCATTCCCCCTTTCACAATTACCAGGGAAATGAATTGAAAAGCACGCCCCTGCCTCAGTCCTGGTTGCTACAAGACGAGAACAATTAGCAAACTCCTTTCCACCACCTAATTTCGCGTGGTAACAAAATGGATTTTTCCCCATGAATGCCTAGCCGGCCTATTCATTATCTCTCCTCTATTAGTAATTTTCTGCTCCGTATTCAGCTAGCCAGCTCTTAATTTCCTCCTGTCTTGCAGTGTACACAGTGGCTCTTATGTCAGGCCCGGTCCATTTTTATCTTGTAATCATAAAGGCCACCAAAGCAATTATCGCTGGTCTTGACTGTAAAAGCTTGTCATTAATTAGCCTCCTTGCCTTCAGTGCTGAGGATTAGCCGGGGCTGAGGCTGAGTTAATGGAAATGCAGGTTCAGTCAGACTCCCGGATTTTCTTGCCCGGATGCGCCGCGCGGAGGAGGATGGCCGGTCCGTGCGCCCCGGCGGGGCGGCGGGGGGCGGGCACGGGGCTGGCCGCGGCCACCGGCCATGTGCCGTCCGCGCAGCCACCGCCGCGCCCGCCGCCTCCCCTCCCCTGCGCGGCAGCGGCCCCTCCTCCAAATCCCAACAGCCACCAGGAGGAGGGGGCTGCACCCCCACCCCACCCCGCCCCGGCCGCGGGGGGATCCGGGGCCGCCTCCTCGCCGCCGCCCCCGCCGGGCACCTGCCCCGGCTGCCCCGGGGGGAGCGCGGCCCCGTCCCGCACCGGGCGGGGCACACGGGCGGGGCAGCACCGACGGCGGCCGCCGCGGTCTCGCTGCTCCCGCCGCCTCGGCCCCGGCGGGGTGAAGCGCTGCTGCGACTGCCGTTAGCATCGCCCGGAAAGGCCCCGTCCCCCCGGGGCCAAGGGTCGCAATCTGCATCTCAATAGGCGGCTCCCGCCGAAGCGCTGCGCCCCGGGACGTCAGTCCTTGTCGCCGCAGGGTTTGGCCCCCCCATCAGCCAGGCAGGGACGAGCCCCGCACCCCCGGGCTCCCCCGCGGGCCAGCTCCGCTCATCGGGCGGCTCGGGCCGCCTCGGCCCCCGGCTGGGCTCAGTGGCACCGACGGGAGGAAAGAGGCTGGCGGGCAGTTTCGGACACTGCTCCTGAGCCTTACTTCTCTGCTATCTCTACCACGGTTGTAGACGATTTTTTTTCTCCGGATGCCGTGCGGCAGAGCCGCACCAAACACACGGGGAAGGGCTATGCGAGAGAAACGATGACAATGATGGGAGCAAAGTGCTGTCAAAAGCTCCGAGTAAACACGCAGAAGAGAAAGGGCGGCAGGTGCTTTCTCCCACCGGAGTTAGAGCTATTTTAGATGTTGCTTCCAACTTCGCCAGGCAGTTTTCCCCGCAAAGCCGGGGCTGCCGTCCCCGGAGCTGGCTGCCCTTGACAAAAGAATTGCTCCAAGAGCCACCCCCTACATGCTCTTAGCGTACAGCTGCACTCGGCAGCCTGAAGCACGGGCAAGAGTTAGAAACCTTCCGTGGGGCACTCGGCATTGCTTACACCTCTGTGTAGCACCGTCCCTCGTGATGGGCTTCGGACGGCCGAGGGCTTGCGAAGCCCCTGCACGGCCAGGGGGAACGGCGCCCACGCCCGCCCCGACCCCCGTGCCCTGGGAGGAGCTGGAGCCCCGCGGCGGAGGGCAGGGCCGAAGGGCCAAAGGGGCCCGGCCGCTCCCCGCTGCCCGGCGGCGCCCGCCACGTCGGATCCGCCGAAGGGGAAGGGAGAGGGGCTCTGCCGCGGAGCCGCCGGCCCTTCTCCCACTCCTTTCCTCGCTCCCGCCTCACGGGGAGCAGCTCCAGAACAGCTCCAGAGCCGCTGCCGTCGGGGCCCGGACGACTCCGCTCTCCCCTCCCTGCCCGCGGCGGGGCTGGTGCTTCGGGCCACCTCGGCCAGCCCCGCGCCGCCCAGGGAGCGACCAGAGGCTGCTGGCCCCTGTCCCGTCCCGCAGGAACCGCCGGGTGCGGCCGAGCAGAGTCCCATCGCCCGCCTCCGGCTCCAACTCCGGGCCGGGGACACCGGGAACAGCAGAGGGTAGCCCGGCCCGGTCCCCCAAGTACGTTCCATCAGAACACTGTCCCCGCGGCAGCTGGAGGAACCCGCTGCCCTTTCATCCTGCTCGATGCCTAACCAAACATCGCATTATGAAACGGGAAAAAATTAATCCGACGTGTTAGTTACCAGCTCCCTCCGTCCTCCCACCTCTCCCCGCAGCCGCCCCCGCTGCCTCTAACCAGGAGCACAGATTTCCCCACCTCGCCTAACCCCCCGATTCTTCCCTGCAATAAGGCCCCAGCCTGAAACGGAGCCCAGGGTTAATTAGAGGCGTCCTGTCAGCCTTGACTTGAAATTGAAAGAAAAGTGTTTAAATATTTATGAATTTGACATTTACAGTCGGATGTCTTTTAAAGCAGAACACCTCTCCCTGTGCTGGCTGGGGCTGCCGTGGTGCGTGTGCCATGGTGCGTGTGCCTAGGGTGGAAGGGGAACAATAGCTATTGCATAACAAGAAAAACAAATTACCTCCCCACCCAAGGCTTAACAAATAAATGGATCACATAAATTACACGCAATTAAATATTAAACTCAGCTACATGTAAGTATGCATTTTTTAAACTTCACATAACGGAATATACTGACAGTCCTCTGAATGATTTTCTCCTTCGAAAAGTGTGGACTATCAACGAAGTCCCAATGAAGGAAAACAACTAATTCCTAAATGAATGGCTTAGAAAGTGAATCTGAATGAAGAGGCTTTGGAGGTGTTCATCCAGCCTTTACTTGCTTTGAAACAGCCCGACCTAGCTTAAATGCTAGAAAGCAAAGAACAACAGCACACCTAACACCCAGTGTTTACTTGAAGTACACTGTTTCTGTGTGGGTCTGTGGGTTTTTTAAGAGGAAAGAAAATTCTTAGGGTCTGATCTCATGTAGGCTTTCCTGGTCCCTCGACAGAACACATTTTATATACACCCAAAAGTGAGTCATTAACTGGAGCAGCCATAACACCGGAGTCACAAATCACTGCTCTAATCAAAGAGCAGCGTCCCGTTCCGCGGTGTCATCCCATGATGCAGCAGAACAGTCGACATTTCAAACGAATCCCAGGCAAATGTCAGTAAATATTTAATGTACGCTTTCATGTAAATAAGTTCTCACACCTATGCTGGAAGTGTTGGAGAAAGTCTTTGTAAGAGCAGAGAGGAGCTCCCCATGCAGTGATGTGGAAGCTCACCATCCAGATGCCTCAGCAGAATTACACTTCATTATTTACTTTAGGACACAGGGCATGATTCTGGTCCTTGCAAAACTCTAACTGAAGTTGAGGTTTTGTTTCGCTTCATAAATATAAAAATATTTAAAACCTAATTTGCCAGTTACTGCACCTGACCACTCTTCCAGTTAGCAATGGAAAAATCACTGAAATTTTGAACAACTCAACATTATCATTTTTTTTCGCAATTTCTGCATGCTTCGTTTTTTACATTTATATTACACAGTTTTGTTTCTGAACAATAATAAAAAATTGAAGATTTCTTAGTAAATATGGGCAAAAAGAGGAACTTCAGAATATGATTTGTTTCAAAATATTAGAACGTTAAGAAACTCAAGAGGTGCTATTTTTAATTTGGAATTCACTATAGAATCTAATAAATGAGAGAAGTGAGGCGGAAATAATCATGTATTAATTCTGTGCATTACAAAATCTTTTCAGAAGCTATTATCAGAGCAAGAGGCATTGTGGTTTGGATTCAGGGTGGGAGAAATCCTTTGTGCAACTGAAAGCTATTGTTCCTCTGTGCAGATGAAATTGTACTTGCAAATATGCCATTCAAGGAGGGAAAAAAGTACCTAGGCAGAAAAAAAGAACTCTACAAGAAAACCATTAGTCTTAAAATTAAACTTCTCTAAAATAAGTTTTGGTTCATTGTTTGTTTGTTTTCTAAGGAATATCCTGTGTTAACAGTTGCAGCCACTGACATTACATGAAAATATAAAGGATATGCATATTATTTCCTTATATAGAAAGCATGAAGAAAGGGATGTGTGTGGGTGTGTATATATATAATGTGTGTGTGTGTTCAAATGTATATATACACACATCCGTGTATGTCTGCTCATTTATATAAATCTAAACTTAAGTTCACTTCTAGTAATTTCCCTCTCCCAGGGGTTATCTGAGACATAGGTTGATACACTCTGCTGGTTAAGTTTTGATAGGTTACTAGAAAACCAGAGAAACACTTTACGTCAGGAGGAGGCTGGCTACCATAATCTGTCCCCAGGAAAGCTACAGAGAAGATTTTTTAACCTTTTATAAAGTAAGAAAACAAAACAGAAGGGAAAGCAGCATCTCCCCCAGTTGTAGATGCTGTGCCTCCTCCCCTACTGTGCCCCCAGTCGGGTTAGCCTGGGGCAGCAGGGCCTGGGGATGTTCACCTTTTGTGCATGTAACACCCCTTGCGTTCAGCACTGCACTCCCAAGCTGTTTGGTCCAGGCTACTTGTTGGTGCTTTAAATACTATCTTTAGAGTTACTGAGAGATTTCTAGGGCTGCTACCTTCTGACTCCCTGTTCACACCCCCTCCTCTCCCCAGAAAGCTCACCTGATGCCAGGATCACTTTCAGCAAATGTCAGTTCATCACCTGAAACGAGGTCAATTTAATGCTTTTACTCGGGAGGATGAAATCGGATGGGAAGACACTTTTTGCTTCTTTTAGGGGTCGGAAAGATTAGACAAATCGACAAACACAAAAGGCAGATGGATTTCTGGGAACTGCAGCTTAATTCAAATCACTGAGAAAGGTCACTGCAAAAGCCACAGATCTATTCATCTGTAGGGGTACAATGATCTTTCCACAACCTTCAACACCACAAAGCACTCTGGAGCGTCTCTATACCTTTTAGTAGGATTAATACCATGAACAATGACTGAATACAATCAAGAATTCACCGAGTTCAAAGATCCCTTGATCAATGGTAGATATTTTCTTCTGGCTTCCTAAAGGTAAACATAAGTGAAGTTTCTGATTAGAGTTACAAGAAATTAGAGCTATTATTCTGAATCCCACTACAAGGTAATACTGAAATGCCAGAATGTCCAAGCACCCCAAAGAAGTTTGTGGCATGGTGATAAGGAATAAGGTTGTGAAAGAGGAAATTCAATGAGCTTCAAGATTTTCATGAGCATCTGGGTATTTTTTTAAGTCAGCAGTTAGGTAAAGAGTAAAGCACAAAAGCCTACAGCATCACTGAGACAGTGTAGGGATAACACACAACTCAGGAAACCGGACAGCCACATCCATGCCTGTGGAAGAGGTAGGTGAGTCGGAGATGGAGGAACGTGGCCCATCCTGTCCGAAGCCGCACAGTGCACCTGTGAGGTGGCAGCAAGAAGAGGAGAGCGCAGAGACAGTGAAGACACCACGGTGAAGAAACTTCGATCCCCGTCTCTAAGGACTCGGGGGCAGATAGGGCAAAGCAGCAGAGTGGGTGCACCAGGAAGCAGGTTTTCCTCCGCAGCCCAGGCTTTGTTAGCCGGAGTAAAACCGTGAAAGAGAGGGACTCGGCAGGTCTAAGTCACAGAGTGTCAGAGCCCGAGCCAAGAGGACGGTCAGAGATTGCCGAGCTTAATCAAATGTCTTCAGCTAGCAAGGGGAACACGAGCCGCAGCGCCAGCGCTGATCTAATGCTGATGCTGAAGGCACATAATTCAGGGATTAGATAAGGCGCCCTTACAGCCGAGTGCCAGCAAACGAGCCAGCTCTCGGTAATGCTGGCAAGCGTCCGCAGATCCGTCGGCGGAGCAGCCGCCCCGTCTCGCAGGGAGCCGGGCCCGGTCCCTCGGCCGTCCCCGCCCGGGGACGGGGCTCCGCGGCCGCACGCCCGCTCCCACCGCGGGGTCCCGAACCGGGAACACGTCCTGGCCCCGCCGTGCCCGCTGCCCCTCCGCCCCGCGCCTGTTCGACGGCCCCGCGCCGGGGGCATCCCCGGGGTGCGCTCGGCCGGGGGCGCGCAGGGCTTGGGCGAAGCGAGCCCGGCGCTGCTCCGCGGAGCCCCGGCCCGGCCCCGACACGGCAGCGGCTGCCCCGTCCCGGCCGCCCCGCACCCCACGCCGCGCACAAGGCTCTCCCGAGTCCCGGCCGGGCCGCCTCGAGAGACGCGGGCGCTCCCCCCACCCCTCCTCCGCCGCACGTACCTGCTGCCGGCGTGCCGGGACGGGCCCCTCTCTGCGAGGGGTCGGCGCACCTCGGCGGGCTCTAGCAATCCTCCTCCGGTGCCAAAACTTCCCCCTCTCACCCCCCGCCCCTCCTTAGCGCAGACAAAGGCGGCGGCCAGCACAATCGCCCCTCGCCGCCCGCGGCCGCCTCCCGGTGCGGCGGGGGCAGGCGGCGGCCCCGGCGGCCCGGTGGTCCCCGCGGGGCGCGGGCGGAGGATGCCGGCGCGCCCCGGCGCTGCCCTCCTTATATCGGGCGGCTCGCAGCCCCTGCCGGCTGCCGCACATGGCCCATCCACCGGTTGCTATAGCGATGCCTCCCCTCCACATGTTGCTGGCAGCAATTGGCTAAGGAGGTCTGGGCTGTGCAGAAACCCTTCGCCGGAGTGCGACGATGAATGGACACGGGCTGTGTCACTCATTTGGAGAAGCTGTTTGGGGTTTCTGTTGTGGATGTGCGGGGTTTTTTTGTGGTTTTTTTTTTTTTTTTCCCTTTTGGTTGATTTTTTACGCGCACCCTCCCCCATCTTTTTCTTTTTATTTTCTTTTTTATTATTATTATTATTTTCTTGGTGCCTGTCTTCCAAGATGGAAGTGGAGGGTAGAACAATGACAGAAAGCCAAAAATAAAATCAATCAAGGACAGCGAGAAAAAGCTACAAATCATTTGCATCACAATACGGCAAAGGAGCCCACAACGCTTCTTCCTGAAAAGACTTTCCTCAAAAAAAAAAAAAAAAAAAAAAAAAAAAAAAAATCCACACATTGCCAAGCAAAGAAGATCCAAACTTTCTCCCCTCTCGTCCTCGTTCTCCAAATGACACACGAAATCAGGAAGGAGTGTGTTCCGACCAGCCCCGGGACAGTAACGAAGTCCAGTTCGATAAATAGCGAGAGGCAGCGCTCGGAGCCGGCGCGGGCGAGCGGGACCGTGCCGTGCCCGGCACTGCGCACCCGTAACCCCCAGCCAGGGCCCAGGGGCCCGGGGCAGCACCGACCCTTGTAATGAAACGGACCCTGCAGTCTTCCCCAGCTCCTCAGATTCCCGCCTGCCGCTGGCAGACACGCTGCGCACCCCCTCCCCTCCCGAAACCCCAGCATCTGCCCACGAAGTGTCCCGGCTGCGGGAGCGGGACGGGAGCGGGCGGGGAGCGGCAGGAGGGCTGCCGGGCGCGGGTGGCAGGTCCCTTCGGTCTCCCTTCCCCCGCCGATGGACAGCCCTCCCGCTTCCCTGTCCCCATTGTTTCCCGCTGTCACTGCGGCTGGGGATGGCAGGCAGGGCAGAGCCGGCTCTCCTCTGTCCGTGGAGGCGGGCAGTCCTTTCCCTTTCCCTTCCTCTTCCCTTTCCCCTTTCCCTTCCCCTTCTCCTCCCCAGCCGTCCCGCCCCCACGCCGCCTGTGCCCCGGCCTGCCCCGGCCCGAGGGCGGCGGCTGCTCCCGGGCAGAGCTGTCCTGAGCCGGGCAGCGGCACACACCTCCCTCGGCAGGAACCCCCGCCCGGAGCGACCCCCGCGGTGGGACGGAGCGGAGGAGGCAGTGTGAGGGACGGCACGGCACGGCACGGCACGGCATGGCACGGCACGGCACGGCACGGCATGGCCACCCTTACCCCACACCCCTGCTGTCCCGGCAGCCGTCTGAGGCTCGGCCACTGCCGCCTGCCCGGCCCCGGCGGGTTTTGCCTTCCCGGCTGGAACGAGCGGCCCTGGCTCTTCACGGGTGTCCCGGACACCGCATTAGCGCCGTGTGGCAATTCCTTTGCCCCCCTTTCCTCTGGACAGTATTCATCCTTCCAGCACCCCACGGTAGCCAGCACCTGGGTAAAGGACACGCACCCGTGCGGGGTGCCAAAGGAAGGGCAAGGGCAGCCTGAGTTCTCAGAGCATCCTCGCCTCGCCTCAGAGCGACACTTCACTTAAACTTGCAGGACAGCACAGAAATGTCATCACCATCCCCTGTACAGGATCGTTCTGCCGTGTCCAGAAAGTGCAGAGTGGTTTTGCCATGGGCTTACCCCCACTCACAGCCCCACACCCAGCCTTCCCATCCCAGGGCAAGGAAGATGCTCTTTACATCACCACCGTTTCTGAAAAGAAGGTTTCCAGGCAGGAGAAGTACTCCTCACCTGGCTTCTGCTCATGCAAAATCCTTCACGTTCCCAAAGATTTAAAAAAAATAAATTTGGCTTCTCCAAACATTTTCTCAGCCACGTTTGTAGTGCTTGGTCTGAAAGCATTGCTCTGTCAGTCTGTCATCCTTAGAGGACCCTCTCCTCTGATATTCTCCTGTCCCCGGAAAAAACAGAGCATACATAATCTCCTCACTAACCTGCATTCCTTAAGTTGAAAGATAAATGAACCCGCCAAGTGATTTCATTAAAAGGACACGTGTGTTTGCATATTGGTCCTTCTAATGAACTGTCTGAAACTGATAAATACTTCCATTAGCTTTGTAGTTTGTATTTAGTATTTAAAAATATATTCATTAACATTTCCTGGAAAAAATATTGGATCTTTTCAGAATTGTCAGGTGCTGAATGGGTTCAACATGAATTTGACCGGCCAAGTGTCCAGAGACAGCAAAATACTTGTTAAAACACATATTTTTTTTTTAACAGTAAGATTTTGAAGAATTTGTGGTGAAATTTAAAAAACTTTTCACGTTTATGTAATTTTCATTACTTTTATCCCATTCTAAATATGACCTTTGAAGCAATGATAGATACTTGTGAGGGTTACGTCACAGGGAGAAATCATTTAAACATAGATTGTTTAACGTGTTATTCATTACAAGTGTAGAAGATGTTGAGAGATAGAAGAAATAATTTTCAATTGTTTACTCATTTTAATTTAAAATCTGTTTTAAAAGCATCTATAGAACTGTTGGTCACATATCAGTGAATTGACTTACTGATAAATTTTCTCATATGATTTAATTAATTAAAAAATGGGAAAACAAAAAAACCCTGTCATCAGCAGCATTTTATTATAAAATTTCTAGAAAGTTTCATGTCTTTTTCTCAGAAAAAAAGTTGACATTGAAAGTATAAATGACTTTGAGACAGTTTCTTTGGGTTTAGCGCATCTAAAAATACCGGTATTTTGAAGATTCACATTAACATTCATCCGAATTCAAGAGCTGTGTTTGAACTATGCCTAAACTCAAAATATTCTAAATCTTGCAATTTTAGTGAGAATGATGCTGAAACATATTCCCATTTTGCACAGAACAAAACTCTTGCCTGAGAACCACCAATGTTTTTCAGGACTCCCCAAAAATCTGTTCTTCATAACTGAGCACTGAAAACCACACTGACCATTTTCCTTGATTTCTGATTACAGATCTGTTTTCACTTCTAGGTTTAGCCACTTCATTCTGCAAATGCATGCACAATGCACAGCATGAAATAGATTTTCATTCTTTTAAAGCATGTATGATAAAGCTAAAACACCATTTAATCTCATTTGTTGTTTTGTTTATAAGTTATCCTTTGGAGCCTTGCTCATTAAATACAGATCCAAATATGTTGTGGAGGATTTTCCATAGATTTTCTGTTTATGTGGATACTGAAATCAAAGTTGAATTTCCTTCATTCTGATGAACAAAACATTTTTTCCAAATATTAACTACCTATACCACCTGCATTTAAATTACTTTAACTTTAGGGATACATGTATTAAGAAAGAGGCAGAACTCCCATGTCTTGAAAACACTACACCATTCTTATAAATAAAACCAACACCTGGGACCATAATTTAAAAGCAGAGTTAGCAGAATTTTAACCACTATACTCCATTGAGTTTTATGTCTTATCTTCTCGTGCTCATCTGTGAAGATCAACAACAGACACATTCTACTAGTAAATTCTAGAGCTCTTAGGTTTATTAAGAAATTATTTCATTCTGCCTAAGATTTGAATCTAATTAATCTGTCTTGCAGTTTAAAAATGATAACTAAATTCAAGCTGCATACTATTCTTCAGAGACAGCTTAAAATATTAATTAAGTAAAGAGTGCATTTTCCATTTATTTTAATTACATTAATACAGTTTCAATAAATAAAATAGTTCTGTGCTTCATCAAAACAAACTCGGATGCAAATTTTCCTATTGATTAGTTCTCTGTTCACATTGGCTCTTGACTGTTTATTTTTAAATAGGAAAAATATGCAGAAATGTTTGGGGGTTCCCATTAGTGAAGTGAGGTCCAACAGTCTGAAAAGGTCAGTTCAGTCTTCCAGGAGGCTGATGTAGCCCTGTAAAAGTGGCATCCTGATCAAGTATTGCTTATAAAGGTAATTAGTGAGATAAAACTGGATGCATTTATGGACATTTTTAAACAAATGAAGATTTTACTGTATTACATTTTTCTAAGAGCCCAAAAGCTCTTAGATCTCTCGCATCCACTAACAAAATACTACAAGACCAGTGGATAAATTCAATTTTTAATAATCAATTTAATTAAAGCTGATGTGTTCTAGATTTGCAGGTGCACCTCTTTCTTAAGATAAAGCACAGGACAAGGGAGAGGAGTCTTGTTAGTAGCTACATTAAAAAATAAGTGTAATTCTACCTAATTCAGTAATAATTCTATCCTTCAAATATTTGAGGAGCAGCATCAGCTGAAGAAGAACTAAATATTGAAGACAAAGTTTCAAAATACCTTAGGAGTCACAGCAGGTGTTTTGTAACCTGTACATTATACAGAACATTTTGAGTGTTTTTGTAGGACCCAATCCTGCATTCTTCATTTTAAGAAATTAAATACAAATCAACAGAACCAATCCTAATAGCACCTGGAACACAGTAGCAAATGTTTTCAGAGTGAGGCTTTATGTAAATTGGTATTTCACAAAAAAAATTTGCACCATTCAAACTTTAATTCCATTGTGATTAGGTTTATATTCACAGAATATAGATATAAATATTAATCTGTTTTAACATGGGACTCAACACTATTATTATGAAAGCCTGGTTAAGAAGCTTCTATAAAAATGCCAACTTAAAACATGTTTAATGGCAAAACATGAGGAGAAATGCATGATTTTCCACTGTGATCTTGTTATAACAAAATGTGGCTATCATTGAAATGCTGGACTCCTTTTATACATCAGTACAGTATGTGCCAAGAATTCAGAGAACTGTGAGGTATCAGTTTTCTCTACTGTAACATCAGCAGTTTACTTTGTTAAAGTGCTGCGGAAAGGGTGTTTGTTTCTTCTTTCCTGAGATGAAAACAAACTAGTACAGTTTAACTATGAAAAAGTATTTTCAGAATAGTAGCTAGTGCTGCAAATCTGAAGGAGAATTGAAATCAGATGTGTTTTTTCTGCCTTTGACACAGATATTGCTCTTTCTATCTTATCTCCTAATACTGGTAGCCTCAGGACAAACATAGATTACGTTAGAAAATTGTCCTTCATTATATTGATCGAAATTCACTTCCAACCTACCTCAATCTGATGTTAGAACATTTTTATTAGCTTTAAATTGTTTGCATTATAAATTTAAATTAATAAAATGCTTTTATAAATAGTTTAAAGTTCTGAAGCAGACAGTTTACAAAGTTCTTATGTGCTTCATACAGTCCCATTGAGTTTCTTTTGGCACTGATCTTCCAATTCTGACTGCAGAGAACCATCTCTGTGGAATATTCAGCAATGCCGTCTATGAAAATGGATGGAGACAGCATTTAAACTGGTATACAAAGTTCTGAGAAAAATTAGAATTGCAGGACACTGTCTGGCCAATTGAAGTTCATTTACTGGCAGAACTCCACTTTATTTTTGATTTCTAGTTGCTGCTACCATTGCTTTAGGGTCCCTGATAAAAGCCTTGATTTTATGTTATGATACACAGAAACAGCAGAAGTCTGAGCAGCATTAAAAATATCACCAGCAATACTGGTCCTGGAGCTGGGCTTCAATGGATAATTTGGCAAAGATGGCAGACACCCAATAAAATCCTAAATGTACTTGCACTGTATCTAATAAAGACACCACCTCCACTCACACCCCACTTCTCTATTTTAGAAAGCAATTTACCAGGGTTTTCCTCTTTTTCTCCTCCTACTGAAGAAATGACAAAATGTCCCTTCTTCGCTGGAAGCAGGCCCTTAGCCAATAAAGCAAGTGGGCATTATGTCTGTGGCATTTGTAATATAACTAGAATGCTGAAAATATTAACACTTACTAAAAAGAGAAGGAAGATCCTGACACTTATAGGAAGGAGGATAGAGACTACATAACTTTCAGAAAGTTCCTTTCTTCTCTGAGTCATACGAGTATTTGAGAACATTGAAAAATTTTGCCTTTTCTGACTGCAGAAAAAAAGAAGGCGACAGCATCAGTTTATGCAAGCACAAGCTATAAAACCTAGATAAACAATCATGTGTGATAGCATGCTAATGATAGTGTGCTAGCATAAATGTGTCACATAGTCATTTTAAAAATATGTGCTTTATATATGTAGCTTCAGATTAAATATGAAATCAGAAAGGTTGTTGAAAAAGCACCTATCCTATGTTTTCCACTTAATGAGGCATGCACACACTCCCAGCAGAGCTTTTCAATTGATTTCAAAACAGAGTTCAAATTCAAAATTCCAGTTAAACCAGTAAGACTTTAGAATCATTGCTTTACTGACACAGGTATGTCAGTCTCCAGCAGATGTAGGTATGGTCCCTGGGTTTTTACCCAGACTCAGACACTTGGTGCTTGAAATGATTATCATGAAGTCTCCTTTTTTTAAGTGGAAGAAGAAGAACAATGGTGCAATTTATACAAACAGAAGCTTTCATCTTCAGCTTTGGTCTTACAAGTGACACCAAGAGTGTATTCCCATAACTTTGTCAGAGCTTCAGAAGGGCCAGGAGTGGAGGGTCATGTCAAAGCCTGAGCAGACGTGCACTGACAAGCCTCTCATGCAACACTAATTGCAGAGGGAAAGCCAGAATTTCTGAGAAGATGTTCTGTTTATCACTTTTTTTTGTTGATTTGCTCAGTCCTTTGAAAGAAAGACCTTCTTGTCTCTTCCCTCCTTTTAATCACTCTGCGTATGATAACTTTGTACAAAAAGTTTTTCAATACATTTTAAAGACTTCTCTTAATTCAATATCAAAGTTTAAATTGTCAGTAATACTTATGATGCAGCCCATTCAGACACAGAGCTCAGGAAAATTTGGGGATTTAGCATCCAAAGCTATGTACAGAATTTAGTTTTCCACAATGAATTAGACAGTCTCCAACACAGCTGCTCCTAAGTTCTATGAGTTACATTTTGTTGTAAAATCAAGGAAATTAATGAAATTAATTTACTTATGTAAAATCTTATGTACTTATGGAAACTTTTTATCTGGAAGTCCTTCCAGCCTCCCTCTGGTCCCGGCCTCAGAGCTCCTGAGGGCACCATGGAGATCTCAGGACAGATTTTAAATATACCCAGGGAAGAGCTACAAGCTTGGTGCCTGGATCAATTGTTTGGTGCATGAAAGTGCAACTCTCCCAGAGGCACCTCAGAGGCCAGGAGATGTGTGCCACAACCAAAGCTTGCACCTTTTCCTACTACCTAGCCCTGCTTGCAGGAAAAAAGCATTTTAAGGTCTGACTTCACAGGTAAAAGGAAACTATGCCTGAAAGTATTGCATTGTTTTAAAACATACACCTACAGGAAGTTTTAAGAGTTGTAGCTTTATTATTAATTAATAAAATTAATTTTAAAATTCTACTGTTCAGCTCTTTAAGGAAATTGAGAAGATGCTTTTGAGGAAAGGGTGTGTGAAGATTAAGGCCTTCATGTTCCTATGTCATTATCGCTGATTCACTGGTTTTAATAGTTTTGTTTCTCTTGCTACGTAAATCTTTGGGATTGATTAACCTGTTTTCACTAAGCTTCACTGGCACTACTGGGGATTTCTGGGCTGTAACCTCACTATCTATGTTCCCCAAAACATGCTTGTGCCTTTCACCCTGCCCCCCTGCCTCCAAAACCCCAAGTCAAGTCCATGAACCACAGAAAGTTCTTTTAGCCCCCAGTGAGGTGCAACCCCTGCCTTGGTCCCCTGCTGGTCTGAAAGGGCTTATAACAAACGTAATTTCTTTTCTTTTATGTTCAATATTTTAGTTACTCTACTGTTGATCACAATTAAAAATCAAATGAAAAAATGTCATCCCCTTAGAAAAGTTACCATAGAAACAACACCAGAGAATTCCCTTTAAAAATGTCAAGATTTCCCTCACATTTAAATACAGACTCCCAGGCATTACTCATGCCCCATTAAAAACTGCAACACATCCAGTGAGTCATTAGTTTAAAAATACATCTACAAACATACACTCTTTTAGGATACAGATGTTTTTGTCTCAATAAATGTATATCATGACATGACCCAACTTTTGATTTTATCTCTTCTACCTTATATCCCCAGAGAAAACTTGAACGCTGTCGTCTCTTGTTCAAACACCTGACTGAGGAAGGAGAGAACAAAAATGAAGAGTGACAAAACACATAGAATGTAAGCAATGCCAGCAAAAACCACTGGGAAAGGAAGAATAACTTTGAAAACATATTTACATGGTAGTAGACAAGATGAATGGAAAGAAAATTGTCTGAAATGAGACACAGTGCAGACAGAAAGAATTTTAATGTTGTATCTTAAAGTAAGAAAATTTTAAATTGAAAATTGTCCTAATTTAATGTAATCCAGGCCACGCTACTGGACTTTCTAACTTAATTTTCATTTCTTTATACCAATCTGTAGCATAACATTAATCTCACATACGATGCTGCTCCATCCTCCTTCCATGGCATAGCTGGCAAACTCTGACATATTCTGGCAGAGCAGAAGAAGGTCCTTTGCATTAGACACTTTGATCATATGGAAGCAGGAGAAAATAAGCTGTAGTCAAAGTGGAAGGTGCTTCACAAGTAATAATAATGTAAATTTAAAGAAAATTCAGAGCTGGTCACAAAGAAAGCTGATAAATAGTTTATTCATAAACTCTTGCATATTTAGAGGAGATAATAATATAAAGGCATTGTGCCTTCCCTTTGCATTACTTGGTCTGCTGTAGATAAACAGCATGGCTGAATGGAACCAGATTAATGATAATAATGACAGTTTTCTCATTTTCTTTGTAGTAGAGCCAACCTGAAAATGAGGAAAAACAACAAAATTGAACTATTTTTTTGTTCTTCAGGCTCTTATAAAAATGTTCCATTTTTTTTCTTAATGCAGGGAGTCTTAGAAATTTGCTTCTGAATTTTTAGTGGTAAAAGTCCTCCTATTTTTGCTTAGCCTTATTTCCCTCTTTCTTTTTTACCCCTTTGTCTATTTTTTCATCCCTTACTAAAAGAGAAAAAAACCCATCAGAGGACAGATATAAGGAAAAAAATAAACCCAGTTTTAAAAAAGCACCAAAAAACCTGTTTTTCTTTCTTTCAATATTTAGCTTCCACTGAGCACATAGATTTGCCAAAAGTGCTGCAAACACTTTAGATATGAAAGAGAATTTTCAAATATTTTTTTTTCTTTTTCTTTTTTTTTTTTTTTAACACAGAATCACAACATGGGGATGGTTGGAAGGGACCAATCGAGGTCATTTAGTCCTACCTCCTGCTCAGGCAGGTTATGCTACAGCAATTACTCAGGATTATGTTCAGACAGCTTTTGAATATCTCCACAGAAGGAGACTGTACAACTTCTCTGGGCAAACTCTTTCACTGCTCAGCCACCCTCATAATAAAGTTCTTCCTTATGTTCAGGGAGAACTTGCCACTACCCACTTACTAATTTATATAATCAGCATATTCTGATTGTTAAAATATAGTTTTAGGTTTTCTGCTACCAGAATTGGGTTTTGTGCTCCCACCTCAACTGTATGACATGGAAAAAGAGAATGAACCCAAGGAATTAACTGAGATTTTGTGAAGGTGAAAAGCAGTATTTTATCAGGGCAGGTGTATGCAGAAGATACCATCAGAGAAACATATTCTGGAAGTGATCCCACTCTTTAAATTAACTTAAAGATTTTGATTATAAATTTCCTGCCACTCAGAAAGATAAATGTAGTATTTTCATCCTAAACTCATGAAGGGCATTGCATAGTACAGCTGTAACTGAGGTATCCTTGGTATCTTGCTTCTGATTTAATTTATTACTATTTATAAAATGAAAGAACAGGTTTTGGAAATATTTAGATATCATTTATATACTTGGATATAATTTTTCACCAGAACCATTCTCATAATGAAGGGTTATATTCTGAATTTTACCCCAAATTGTAGTCCAGCCATGCTGATAATAGGCTTTGCTCATTAGGCATTAGCAAGAGGCAGAAATTTGCCACTGCCAGCACGGACTGAAGGGAAAGGTTTAGTTATGAAATACAAGCATATTGTGGCAGGTTTTCAGCTGGAAGTTGATTTCAAATCTTTGGTAATTATGCTTCTATTCAGTGCCACAGAAGGAGTTTCACATAGCAATAGATCTGTTTGTTTCAAAACTCAGTAGATCAACATTGTCTGGAACAGCAAAACACATTTTTTAGTTTATAGACTCAGTGCCATAACATTCTGGGGTGCCTACAAGAGCTGGACTTTGTATCTGGATATCAAAGGTAGGTGATTAATGTGCTGAAGCTGCCCTGGCAGAGAGCTCCCCACTGACCACACACCTGAGCACAGGCTATTTTTACATGAAGTGAGAAATTTGCTAAAGGGAGGTGCTAGTTTCTTCAGTAGCCCTCCTCACCTTGTTTCTTCAGCAGGATGTATTTAATTTCTCCATTGTGAGAGTTTCTCTGTGTTTACCTCATCATTCATCTGCCTTTAGATAGGAACAAACAGGAAATGGGATTAATTCAAAGCTTCAGCCCTGATGCACCTTCTGAGTGGTCCTGTACTTCTGCCATGTATAAGTAACAAACCTGGTCCTAAAACCATGACAAAAATCTCTGGGCCACTTCTCCTGTCTCCTCTCTGAGAGACAAATCTCTGGAGCTGTAACAGTTTACACTGGGGAAGGTCTGTCCTCATCTATTTTTATTCACACGTATGAATCACACTTCCATGCACCACAGCTAGAAATAAAACAGTAGTCCACCTCAAAGCTTTAAATTACTCAGGGCTTAATTAAGAGGATGATAGAACAGATATAAAATTTAAGATGTAGTCAAGTGGGTAAATTAATGTAGATACAAGCTCGTGTGTCTGCTGTATACCTTAATCTGGTAGTTTCACACAGAACAAATTTCCTACCCCTTTTTTCCCCCTAGACATAACACAGTGTAACAACCATGATTACCATTATATGACAATTACACAATTTTGAAATTGCAGGGTTGGAAAACAGGACTATCATATGTATGGCAAAGAAAAATGATATCTTTCTGTATCAGCTCATCTCATCCATGAGTGAGTGCTGGATCTTGGCCCACCCCAGTTGCTTTGTGACACTGCAGTTTCAACCAGCTGCAGGGCTGGGGTAGGCAGGTCCTCGAGGATTCCCTCGCATCAGAGAGGCAGAAGAGTGGCTGTGTATTGATTCCTGCCAGCCTTTATAGAAAAGCCACTCCTTCAGGATAGGAACATGACATGAGTACCTTAAAAACAAGAACATCAAGCTTCTTTGTAGAGATCCCCATTCTCACTTTGAGTGGTCCCTCAAAATGGGAAATGTCTCAGGAAGAGGACCAGAAGGCTCCTGTCTTATCCATGAATCCTATGAATCCTGCATGCTCTTCGTAATTTTGAGCATTTATTGAGTTGAGTTTGAGCATTCATCTACATGGAAACAAGAGGTGGAATAAGCTTGCAAATCTCATCCCAACCATTTAATCTGGCTCTTCATTCAATGGGACTCCTTGTTACAATTGGTTTCTTTAACAAGAAATTTCCCCACTGCACTTGGTTACTTGCAATAAATGCAGAGCTGGGGTAAAATATAGCATATTACCCAGTTTCCTTGGTAGGACTTTGGTTCTGTCAAAGCTTCTACTCTGAAGCCCAGGTTACTTCAGCTGAGCAGTAGAGGGGAGATGCTTAGGAACAAGCTCTGACTCTCTGCCCTATCAGACAAGTTCTAGCAGAATATTAGACCAGTTTCTAATTTCTCTTGGCATTCCGTCTCACCACTTATGCCTTTGAAACAACCTCTCCATAACACTTTAGATTTTAAAAGGCAATTCTTCTGCCTGAAGGAAAATGAGCAGAAAACCTAAAAAACAGATCATCAAGGTCATTATTTATTTTTAAGCTGCTATCCTTCTGTAAGTTTCCTACAGAGCCCTGGCTTTTGCTTTCTGTTGTGCAGAACAGAATTTAAAGAGAAGACTATAGATCCAAGATTATGAAGGCTCTGTTGCTTTATACCCTATTACAACACTGAATTAAGAGATCCAAAAGTTAGGTTTTAGTCCTGGCTTTGTACGCGAAGATGTGCTAAGAAGGGGAAGAGAATTTCTGAAGAGTGCATTAACAAAATACGCTTTTGATTGCAATTTTGTTAACACATTTATCAAAATGTGTGTTAAACAAACTAAACTCTATTTGGCCAGAGAGCTTGCCCTCATTGTAATCAAGAGCTAGAAAATAAGAATGTTATAAATTGCTTTTCAGGGGCTAAGAAAGGGAATAAATCCAAAGGGCTTTTTAAAGGAGAAGAAATCAAACAACTGTACTATCTCACAGGTATGGTGTATGGTTTAGAGCTCTAATTACAAATCATAATTTTCGAGGGTGTACTCCCTGAAGGGTGAATACAGGCTGAGCTACTGCATCTCCCAGGTTCATGCTGAGGAAACCTGGGCTGCCAGCGCTGGTCCAGCGGCTGCTGGGGCTGCATCAGCCGGTCGCTGCTAATTGCAGGGCTGCAGGGATGTTGCAGCTCCTCTCCTGCTGCTCAGAGCTGGGGGCATCCCTCCCTTCCCACTCCCTCATGGTGTTTCCTTGGGGGAGGGCTCCTCAGGCACTGGAGCTGTGCCCTTTTTCAGGAGAGGAGGAGGGAGCTGGGAGCAGACTGATGCTGCTCGGAGGGAGGGGAGTCACGACTTCCCAGGAACTCGCACACCCGGCTCAGCAGGGCAGGAGCAGGGCTGCAGCTCCAGCCCAATGCTGCTCCAGCACATCAAGGCACTTAGGGCAGAGAAGCAAAGCATCACCTCGGAACCATCCTCTGTGCCTCTAAAAGCTGCTCTCAGCTCATGCTCAGACCCAGAAGGGACATTTTGTCACAAGCTGAGACTCGTGCATTAGAAAACTGTGTAAGGGTGGAGTGGGGAGAGCTGGTGCTTGAGCACATCTTTGGTCTCTCACTCAGAGATGAGTGCTGGAGCCCATCACCACCTCTGAGCAGAAACACTGCATGGCCACCACGGGGCAAACTGGCCAGCCAGGCTCACTCGCAGAGAGACCTGATGTGGATAACACAAATCATTGCAGATGTAGTTTAAAAAGTTGATATTTTCTGATACAAGCGCAGATTCAGACTGGATGCTGTGCTCTTGACTGCTGCAGACAAACTTTCCCAAAGGCACTGGGCTGCCCTCAGCAGGCACTGACTGCGTGTGAGCACTGAAGAAAGCAAACACAAATGCTGCAAGACCTTCCTGATCACACAGAGATGTGTATAACTGAGGGAGAGAGAAGTGAGGGCAGCTGGACTGCAGTTTTGGATGTAGGCTCTTAAATCCTGCACTGAATTCAGCTCCCAGTTTCAGTGGCAGCTGCATTATGCATTTTCCTCAGAGTGCCAGCTCTCAAGTTTCTCAGAGTAGGGACATTCATCATCTACTGAACTGCTGGATTATTTATCATTGAGAAAAATCAAGGACTCTTAGTTATACATTAATTTAAAATATTAATATCAATCTATTTGTCAGTAAAACTCTCTAAATGGTTATGAAATATGTGTGGTGCAAACAGATTTTACTTAGAGGAACACAAAACAATTCCTTAAGATCTCTTTTGTTGGAATTCAGCTTTAAACCCTGTGACTAAGATGTGCTATGTTTTTAACACCTCTCCAGTGGCTTGCTGCTTCTCTTTATTAAAAAGGATCCCAGCAGAGAATTTTTTCTTGCTGTAGATCACTATTGCCCCTCACAGTAGAAAATGTGTGCTCACACTAATTTCTATATAGCAGATTATTATTATTTTATTGTGATGATCAGATCTGAACAACTTGTCCTGGCAGAATGATTTATGCACCTCATTTCAATAAGAATAGGCTTCCATTTGATTTTAAAGAAAAGATGGGATTTTTTTTAAACAACTCTAGTTAAAGAGGATTACAGAGACCTCTGTAAAAATAAAAGATACAAACATTTTATTTATTTCCTTACATGTGCCTAATAATATTGTCAGCACATCAACAACAGGTTTATTTTAAAGCCTAGAGGTTGATATCATAGGCTTCTTTTGGTAGGTATAGGCTAAAGCTGGGGGCATTTAGGCAGATAGGAGGGGAGTAATGGATTTTATGGGCTGACTGGGACTCTAGATGGAGAAATCAAGATACCTGCCTGGGGCCAGGACAAGGCACCTCCATGGAGAGCCCTGTTCATCCTCCTGTGGCCTGGCCTTTTCCACAAGGAAAATCACATTGGCATAAACCCATCACACAGCTGGACCAATCAATCCACAGCTGGGGCTGGTACCAGTGCACCTACTCCAGACTGGGGGGGAAAATCAACACCTTTTTTAAGCACAGAGTTTATCAGAGCACCTTTCTGAATCCTCCAAGGTGCTCATCCCCCAATTAAAAGATTTAATTTCATACATTATCCTCTCCTTTTCAAATTAAAGTATTTTGTTGGCACTCAGTGGGTCAGATGGAGATGAAAGGATGAATGGGAAGAGTTTCCATCTTCAGGTTCAAGCCAGATCTCATCAGAGCAGCATAAAAAAACCCTCCAGAGCTAGCAATGTCAGCTAAGTGGCTTTTTCTCCAGGTTTCCATATGTTTTTGGACCTTGGGAAGGTAAAGTGATAAGTGGGCATTGAGTTTAGTTTAGTTTTCTTCCCATGTCTGCCCATGACACTTGGTATAATCTTTCTTGTTATTACATTTATCAGTTCCTCGGTTTTCTTATTTGTAAAATGGACATGGCAGAACTTCAATCCCTCACAAGGTTGTTGCAGAGTTCAAGTCATTAAAATTTATAAGATGCAGTCAAGCTTTTAGCCAAAAGTTACCATATAAATGGTGAAGACTGTAACAGAAGGAAAAAAAAAAATCACAAATACAGGTTTTCTTGTGCTATCATAGCCATTTTCTACATTTTTCTTTGTGGCCCAGGCAGAAAAGTTATAGGTGGGTATTGGAAATTGGCACATCCTTTTTGAATAAAGTGTAACTCCCCTTTGGGACCACCAAAGAGAGCTGCCTCTGGACTGCATGGATTTTTAGCAAACACAAGTAACATGAACTCACTGAATGTTAGGTCAGATTCCAAGCTTACTGCAAGACTTTGATAGGACACTACCAACACAAATTTGAAAACAGGACCAGGCACAGAAAAAATAAAATTAAATTAAGCAAGATGTGCAAGTATTTTCCAAGTATTTTTACTCTGGATGAACAATAAGTAAGAGGGACATAATGCAGTTAATTTAAATATGACAGCTGAAAGACAGATGTTCAGACAGATTCCTGTAACAAATGCCAAAAAGCAGGAATAAACAAAGGTGTCTTTGTGAAATATACCAAAACCAAAACACTAAGAGAACAAAAATGATTTTTTTTTTTTTGGTGGGGGGTGTTTATTTTCTGTCTGAGGATTCTAATAGATCTTCAGGATGGCTGAATGGTACCTTGTATCATTGCAGTGCCAACTCTACAATTTCATAATCTTCCTCAGATCTTATAAAATGTCATGGATATGCAAAGTCAACTCCACCCAAAAGATGAAAAATCTAAAGTTTAATGAGATGGCTTCTAAGGGATAGTTAGTTTCATTTAAAAATGACAAAAAAACCCCCTATTTCAATGCAGTCTTGGGCAGAAAGAAAAAAATAAAGAGATAATAATGGTTTGGCAAACCCCAAATATATGAATATCTGAACAATGGATTTGTTACCTGCAGGTGGGTCAGAGGGATGAACTGCTTGGTCTAGCTAGGAAAGCCTGATATATAATGACCCTTGCATTTCAGTACCATGACAAAAAAACCCAGCCCCAAAACAGAGACACCAGATACAATACAAATTTAAGTTGGGATCAGAACTCTCAGGCTCTATTTCAAGCTCTTGACTTCTCCTGGGAATGCAATTTAACCTCCCAATAAAAGATTTTTCATAAGCACCCAAGGGATTCAGAAGTGCAACTCTCATCAATTTTTATTAGACTTGTGGAACCCTCACCCCTTGGGTACTTTGAAAATCTCCCTCCCTGTGTTTTTTAGTTGACTCCCCAGTTAAATAGACATAATAATTACAACTGATCAACCTGTTTAAATAATACAGTTTTAATATCACTATTATTTTCATAGGTTATACTCAGCACTGAAATAAATGCATCATAATAAATAATGCAGAACTTTAACATCTGTTCTGGTTAGTAAATAATTCACAAGTCAATAATTAATTTTCTAGCTGTTCATTTATAATTCATAAATATTTTCCAAATATTCAGAGTCTGAAAATTTTTATCTGAACTATTATACGAACTTTTCCTTTTAATTATTACATACTCACAATTTGTGTCATTTAGTTGGGCATTTAATTAACACAGTATTATGTTCCTTATCCTGACTGAATGAGTAAAATTTTTCAAAGGTTGGAAAGAAAGTCACTGTCAACACTGAATCATGAATATTCACTTAGCATGAGTTTTCAGTGCCCACAAAAGCTCACAATGCTTTGAGGACTCACCAGCATTTTTATGAACAGGATGATTTATGGAGTCATCTTGGTGCAGTTACCCATGTAATGTACACTTGTACTGTGAGACTTCATCAGCCAACTCTCCTCCTTCCAGTTGTTCCATTAGCCACTTCTCCAGTTTACTCCCAGTGCTTACCTACTTCAAATATTTAACATCTGCATGATAATTTGAAGCTTGAGGATCAAAATTTAGTTTGGAATATCTTTTTAAACAACAACAGTTTTCACAGGGAAATAAAAACCCTTTAAAACATTCATTTAATAATTCCCCAAGAAATTAAATGCCTTCTATATCCGTTCACATTAGGAAATGGGACAAAAACACCTTTGGTACATCAGACTGTGACTGTTTTAACACACACAAAAAAAAAAAAAAAAAAAAAAAGAACCCCAAAGCTCAATCACTGCTTTTTATTCTGCAAAGCATGCAGTGCTCAATATTGCAGATAATCATTACCATCACTGTGCATTTGCAATGGAGCTTAGCAGCAAAAGTCCTGAAAGATTGAGATTGTCCAACCTGAGGCCCTTTCCCTGAGGAACTCATTTCTGTAGGATACCTGGGCTATGGACAAGAATGAGTCTGCCCTGCTAAAGTGTTTTGAGGACACGTATCTTGTTCTTTCTCCAGTGGCTCCACACAGGGCCAGAGCAGCTTTGCTCTTTGATCACTTCATGGAGAAATGGAGCCCTTAGCTGCTCCCTGAAGAAGGCCTTGTTGTTTCAAAAGCAGAACAAATAAATATTCACTCGTTACTTTCCCCTTGAAAGGGAATTCTGCATTCACCAAGTGGTCCCGATTAGGCTGCTGAAATATTCTAGAATCAAAATTGACAGTTTTTGTCTGGTTCTCCAGAGGATGCAAACTATGAAACTGTTTTACATCTAGATTTAAATGCTTGCTCAGAATAACGTTCTGCCTGCAGCTCGTGCCTGTGTGGGTGCATGGATAAAGTTACAGGGGTTAAAAAAGTGTCTGGAAGACAGGCTCAGGGCACAGCCTTCTGTCTGCAGCCCCAGTGGCTGCACTTCTTTCACTAATTAGACCTTGATCAGACTAATCATGTATGCAATCCTACTGAATGCAATGGGACTACTGCTGGGGACAAAAGTAAAAAGCAAGTTTAAGTGCTGCAGGTGGTTAGATCATCAATAACCGGAGCCAGAACCTTTCATATAGCAACTCAAGTAGGGAGAAGCTATCTTCTACCCAGCATTTCCATACCCATTGCTTCACCAGAACCATTAGGATTGTTATACAGTGAATATCCCTGAAGCAGCAAAGTATCATTATAATGGATTTTTTGTTAAGAGTTCATAGCATCCATAAGCCTATTCACACAGCAATGTGCAGCCACAAAGCTTTGAAGAGTGAGGTTTAGAGAGTGGAAAAGTAGCACAAAGGTAATTCAATAAGATGTTGGTCTCGCAAACAGTATCAAAAGACTAACTTTTACATAGATCGTGACATTTACTTTTAAAGCTAAGAAGATTTTTCTTATTCATATTATTTTCATTAGGCAGCTACACTTGTTATGGATTTTTTCCCACTCGGGCACAGATGAATGAGACAAAAAGCCATATATTTAAAACATTAATATAATGGCCTGATACCCTGTAAATAAAGCTTCGTTGATTATCCATTTGCTTTAAGCGTCTCTTTTGTTAAGCCACCAGTTTGTAGGTCATGTCTGCTGTTTAATCCAAAGTAGCTGTACCAGGTACTGGCCCTTGAATATAAGCATCACCTACAGATGTAGGAAGCAGATAGCAGGTGTGTTCATTGTGCTCTGCCAGGAAGATCTTTGCAACTTTTAAAAGGGATTTGGTGACACCAAAGATAGGGTCTACATTGTCATCCATGCTATAATGAATTTTGAAATAACAAAAATGCTTAGGGAGGTGCCACTATAAAGGCTGTCAAAGGCACTGCCACAGTTTCCTACCTTATCTTGTTTTAGCCACATGTATACTTGTTTAGCAAGGGACACATATGGATCAGGGTGGTGGAGTTCCCCTCCTATGAGGAAAGCCTGAGAGAGTTGGGATTTTTAGCATGGAGAATATAAAGCTTTGGGAAGATCTTACTGTGGCCTTTCAGTACTTAAAGGGGGCATTTAAAAAAGATTAAAAAGTTCTAATAAAAGGAAAAGGGGTAACAGTTTTAAATTAAAAAAGGATAGATTTAGATACGATATAAGAAAGAAATCCTTTACTATGAGGTTGATGAGACACTGGAATGGGTTGCCCAGAGAAGCTGTGGATGCCCCATGTCTGGAAATGTTCAAGGTCAGGTTGGATGGGGCTTTGAGCAACCTGATCTAGTGGAAGGTGCCTCCTCTATGCCTGCCCCTCCTGCCCCTCTATGGCACGAGGTTTGGAACTAGGTAATCTTTAAGGTGCCTTCCAACCCAAATCAGTCCATGAATATATGATTTTATGATGTTGGCCCCTTCTAGCCCAATCATTTAATTACTCCATGTACAATGGAACAACTTCAACAGGAAAGCTTGAAAGAAAGCATCTGAGAACATGCTGGTGAGTTACAAACTTCCAGATGATCAAACATGGCAGTGTATTTCTCAAAGCATGGAAATTCAATCTGGTTGTCCCATGTCCTTGGTGATCTACAAGTCAGAAGATAAGACACTGTCCATGGACAATATCTCCAACTACTATTGTTTTCTTTTCCTTGAAATCTGTTTGGTGGATAAAAATCTACAAGTAGAATAAACTCCAAGGT